GCAGGAAAAGGACAACTGTGCCAGTTGGGAGGGGGGGTCTAACCGTGGACCCCATGGCTATGAGGGTAGGGCTGCACTCAGCCTGTCAGAGGGAACGCATCGGGCAGACAATGACAAGTAACCACTTGCTGTTGACAAAAATAGGACCGGCCTCTGAATGGGGATTAGGCGATTCTTGGCTTGCTTGAACAGAGCTTAACAATATGGAGAGAAAGACGGCCTCCTCCAGTCAAACGCCCCTCGGGATGACTTCACAACATCGGCTAGGGCATTTTCCCCTGAGCAAAAAGGAACGGGAGTGCTTTGCTGGCTTTTGGGAGGCTTTTGAAACATCCAGGGATATAATAATAATAATAATAATAATAATAATAATAATAATAATAATAATAATAATAATAATAATAATAATAATAATAATAATAATAATAAAGTTGGAAGGGACCTTGAAGGTCATCTAGTCCAACCCCCTGCTCAGGCAGGAAACCCTATACCATTTCAGACAAATGGCTGTCCAGTCTCTTCTTAAAAACCTCCAGGGTTGGAGCATTCACTGCTTCTGGAGGCAGGTTGTTCCACTGGTTAATTGTTCTAACAGTCAGGAAGTTTCTCCTTAGTTCCAGGTTGCTTCTCTCCTTGATGAGTTTCCACCCGTTGCTTCTTGTCCTGCCTTCAGGTGCTTTGGAGAATAGCTTGACTCCCTCTTCTTTGGGGCAGCCCCTGAGATATTGGAACACTGCTATCATGTCCCCCCTCGTCCTTCTCTTTTATTGGGGGGTGATCTCCCATCTCAATAGGAAGTCAGTGAGAGGGATTCTTGGTGCTCTCTGCGCTTGGTTGCTTTCCAAGGACCCCACAGTTGTCCTTCTCCCCCCCTCCCCTCTCTCTCTTCTTCCTCTTCTTCCTCCCCCTTCTCACTTTTTTTCAGGGAGCTGGTCACTTTGGTCATTAAATGAACTGTTTCAAGTCGAGGACTATCTGTAGTCCTCCAAAAGTAAAAAATAAAAATAAAATAGCTCCAGCTTTGTGCTGTGCATTTATTACATACTACAGCTTATCAGCACAAGATCCTGGGGCCCTTTTATCAACCTGGTGGAATAAGTTAATAGAGGAACTAAAGGCCGGGCTCCACAAAGGGAGAAGTTAAAAGGTTACTTTGCCTTTATCTGGCCTGAAAATCCGGAGAATTCTAATCCTCTTTTCATACGGGGATGAGCCTCGGGCTAAATGGGTTGCCGATATAGAAACATTTTAAGCAGTTGTTTTTTTTTAAAGAAACACAGGCATGGAACAAGGTGTTAGTTTGAAACGGTGCTACTCAATCCCTTCTAAAACACGGAATAATTATTCTCTTCAGACATTGTCACAGCCGTAAAGACTACAGGTAGTCCTCAACTTACAACGGTTTGTTTAGTGACTGTTCCAAGTTGCAACAGCGTTGAAAAAAATGAACTCATGATCGTTTTTTACGCAACTGTTGCAGCCTCCACGTAGTCACGTGATCGAAATTCAGCCGCTTGTCGACTAACTCATATTTATGACAGTTGCAATGTCCCGGGATCATGTGATCCCCCTTTGCCACCTTCTCAGAAGGGAAGTCAATGAGGAAGCCAAATTTCACTTAACAACCATGCTACTAAGTCAGGGGTCTTCAAACATGGCCCTTTTATGACTTGCGGACTTCAACTCCCAGAATTCCCCAACCAGCGTGGGGAAACTATGGCCCCTTCATGACTTGTGGACTTCAACAGCGTGCCTGGCTGAGGAATTCTGGGAGTTGAAGTCCACAAGTCATAAAAGGGCCAGGTTTGAAGACCGCTGTACTATGTTAACAACTGCAGTGATACGCCTAATAACTGTGGCAAGAAAAATGATAAAATGGGGCAAAACTCATTTAACAACTGTGTCACTTAGCAACAGAAATTTTGAGCTCAGTTGTGGTCATAAATCCAAGACAGCCCGTGCCATTCTGAAGACAAGGGCTGAAAGAGGTTTGCAGATCATCATCTGTGGTTTAAATGGGATAACTGAATTAGCAAAGCCCAAACAGCTGGCCTGGAGATGGGTGTGCACAGATGATAGGCAAGGATCTGAATCAGTCTGCATCCTCTAACCTGGGCACTTTCTAGATGTGTTTGGAGAGATTCCAGACCTCAACAACTTTTGGCCAAACATATCTGAAGGGTACAGTATTGGATTAAGGAAATGTTATTTAAATCATAAACAAACCACCGCCAAAATCAAAAACAGCCCAAATGTGGGGATGATGGGTGACAGGAACAGAGAACTGCAGAAATAGTAGCTGCTGGACAGAGCTGCCTAAGCAAGCTGTGNTTTTTCATAATTTGTAGGTACGTGTCTATATGTATGCAAATTTAATGAAGATCTGCACAGTTTGTTCTATATAATAGTAGTTATGTAATTCTGCAGGGAGTTTGCTGAGTAGGCATCCGTTGTACTAGTCTCTATTAGGGATGAGCTACCTCTTATTTGTAATTGTCCTGTTCTTCCCATTCCTGAAATCAAGAAGGCCGCGGTGTAAGGTTCTAGATTTGTTGTAGGAGGAGTGGCAGACCCTGGGGGTGGAGTCAAAAGAGGAATCAGCCTAGAATTTCTATGTAGCCACAAATGGACTAAGTCAAAGCCCTCTTGAACGCCATTGATTTTTATAGTGCTGAGACTTGAGTAGATGACCTACATATGTGAAGTTCCAATTAAACTGATACATAATTACTCATTCACAGGAATCTACTCAACTCATGGTTAGCACTGAATGAGAAACTGCCTTGGGAATACGGGGAGGGGGATGGCTTGACTGGAAAGTCAAAACAACATCCTCATCTTGAAAAGAAAGTGGTAGATGATCTCTACAACAGGCCAAGAAATGGTGATTGCTTGGAATTAGTCACTCAAAGTCAAGCTTGAATGAGGATGTCTCTATTATTCTTTTCCTTTCCCTCCTTCACATCTGTGGCCCTGACTTTTGTCTACTTCCTTCCATATTTACGTGTAGGTGTGAACTCCCTCGGCACGATACTGATTGCTTAAACCAAAGATTGGGTGTAGCTTTTAGTCTGACATGAAAAGCCCCATTTTCTCTTTTGTTCCTTTGTTGGCTGGCCCATGGACTAATCTTTGTTCCTGCACAGTTAAGCAATAGATAAGACCTTAAAAACAAAGGAGGAACAATATTATTGCTCCGTTGTGAAATTATTGAGCCCTAGTGCTTCTGGGATAGTCTTCCACAGCCTTAATTTCACTTTTTAGAATTGAGTTGAGTGACAATAGAACAACTTTTTTTTCCCCCTCTTTGGCAATCCTTTTCACGCTTCCTCCCGTTTTCAGCCCCCAAAATGGAGGCAGCTCCTGCACGTAGGAACATAAGCCTGACTTGCTATTAAATCTGTCAACACGCCTTCGGTGTCCTCTGTTGACAAGGCCTACCTTTGCTCAAACAAGAGAGAGTCAAAACCCACGTTTTGGTGTCCATCTAAACGTTTACATTCAGCTGACTGTAAAGCAACAACATACAACGAGCAGCAGAAAACACCCTTCAAACAAGGCGAGGCAAACCTTTTGCAGCTGCTGAGTGGCACAAAATACGTGCCATAGTAGCATAAAAAGTGTAACACAAGGAGTTGCTTTGCTGCAAAGGGGAAAAAAAAGACAGATGCTGGCCTTCCGCCAGTCTCTGACTGGCTGAACACGCCACACGGCTTGTCTACACCCTCACTAAATGGCCAGAATCCCGTTTAACTGGTTTTGGAATCTGCTGTTCCATCAGGTTTTTCTCTTCTGGGCTCATGTAGCCTTTCAACTTTAAAAAAAAAAAAAACACCAAAAAAAACAGCGCTGCATCTTGACAAATGTAAAGAATGTCGCACAGGATTTTATTTATTTATTTATTTATTTATTTATTATTTGAATTTATATCCCGCCCTTCTCCTTGCGGACTCAGGGCGGCTGACAATCAATTAAAAACACCACTAACAATCACAAGTTAAAATTAATTAAAATGAAATATTTAAATTGTCTAATTAAAAAGTAATTAAAAACCCCTCTAAAAAACCCCTCTTAAAAATTGCCCTAGGCCAGTCCCGCTTGTTGGAATAGCCATGTCTTGAGGGCGCGGCGGAAGGAAGGGAGATCAGGGATCACCCTGATCTCTGGGGGCAGCTCATTCCAGAGGGTGGGAGCTCCCACAGAGAAGGCCCTCCCCCTTGGGGTCGCCAGCCGGCACTGTCTGGCCGACGGCACCCTGA